GGCGGTGGGGCGCTGGTAAGGGTAGGGCCGCTCCGGGGAGCCCCTTTGCTGGGCTTCGTAGGCAGGAGCTGCCCGCCCGGAAATTCGGGGCTGGGCGATCCCCACGGCGACAGGGCTGGGTTGGGGTTTATGAGTGTGGGTACGAGTATGTTTGGGTACGAGGGGCCATCGCTGTATCCTTCCGTCTGCTGTACCTGTGTCCAGCCCGCGCCGGGGTGTCACCGCGTAGCTGAGCGATGCAGAACACTTGGCTCACAGCGTACATCGCCCCCCCACCCTAAATCAGAAGAGAAGCAAGTGAAAATGAAGACGTGAGATTTTCTGAATGCTTTCGGTCCTTATTAAAGCTGAAGAGCACTTGAATTCTTCATAAGACCCTAAATGGAACAGGAGCTGATTCAGAATTTCTGAAGCAAGGTCGCTAAGCTGAAATGATCTCTTCAGCTGTGCCTGTCTGATGTTTGGGGTGTGACTACTTTGAGCAACCTGGTCTAGTGGAGGGTTGTCCCTGCCCATGGCAGTGGGTTGGAACTCGATGATCTTTAAGGTCCCTTCCAACCCGAACCATTCTGTGATTCTATGATTCTGTGTTACAAAAGAAGAGGCTAATTTTTATGCTGCTCCCCTTTATTATATATATATCCTAAATAAATGGAACAGTTTTTAGTATTTGTGTTGAGTGTCACAGACTGATGTGAACATGTTGTTAAAGGCACAATTCAGCTTTGTAGTTTTTGCATCCACTTACCATATTGATGAAGATACTAAAGAGAAACTGTTCTTTTGTGTTGAATAGGTACTAAAGCAAAGTAACCTCCCTAAAGAACCCAGATACATGTCACCACCCAAACCAAAGATATTTGTGAAGGAAGGGGTATTTCCCAGCAAAAATGCTTACATGTTGTATGAGAAGAGGCGCAGGTAAAACATGATAGAAATAGACATGGTGTGGAAAGCCAAGGCAACAGTCTGAGCAAGTTTAAAAATTTAAACTTGGGGAAATCTAGGGTGATTCTCGTGGCAAGTGGTGGCAACAAAGAAGTGAATTAGAAGAAAGAAATGCCAGATTTTCTTGAACAAAATATGAATCAGACAAAAAGAAGAGCTTTTATAAAGTTTGCATACAAATAAGTTTGCAGCAGAAGTGCCCATTATTACCCTTCTTTCCTCTTAAATAACTCTTAACTAAATTTTGAGGTTTTAACAAGAAGCAGCACTCTTGTCAAGCATGAAACATGGAGTTTTAAGAAGTGATATTCAAATGAGTAAATAACTGACAACTCCAAGGTGCTCATCAGAATTTAAAACAAAAGTTTGAAGGAATTTAAGCAGCATCTTCTGGATGGAAGGGTGTTTACAAAATGCATTATAAAATGCTTAGACAGACTGGGAAGTCGAGGTGCAATCCTTCTTGTCTGGAAGAGCAGGATGGTCACACAGCAAGAGCTGTCTTGCAGTTCCAGGGCCATCTAGGGTCAGAGCTAACTCTCACATCCTCTATTGGGTTGCTGTATGCTGAGGCTCATATGGGGATCTTTTAGTATGTTGTAAATGACACAGATTTGTCATACAAGAGAGACACTTAGAAGTGGCACCTTCCAGCCTACAGCAACGGGTACAAAGAGAATAGGAACTTTTGAATAATCAACATTTCCTTCTTCTATGTTGCTTTTGTAAATGGTAGTAAACAAATTAGGGAAGGAATGATGAGTGGCTAGAGCTGCAAAAAGAGCAGAATCCAGCTGTCTAGGCTGATGTGTGTCTCCACATGTGTCTAATGCTTTTGTGTCTTTAGATGGAGACAGGTGCCCTAAGTTGAGAAAGCTGAGCTGAGGAGTGCAGGCAGTCAGCGTGGACCCCCAAAACCTGACATTTAAGCAGTCCTTCAGGAGCTGTTGGCACCTGTGTGCTATGCAGCCCAAAGATTCAGTACCTATAGTGGCTCATCTTCAGTTTTGTCATTAATATGACTATATCCAGCCTGATTAACTGGCTAGTATTTCCCATTGTTGTCCTCAGAAATTCAAACCAGAACTGAATCCTTTTCCTAGCAGTCTCAACTGGTCTCTGTGTGATTTTCTTTGTCCTTCTCATTTGAGTATGTCGTTCTAGGAAGCTTTTTGGTAATTGGATCTACTGTAAGCCATGGCATGGATCTTCTAGGACACGTGCATCCCACATCTTGGCAATGCAACCTTAAACAAGTTAAGATTTCTTTGAAGGAAAGTTGCCCAGGCAGATCATAAAACAACAATGTAGAACACATCTGGGAGCAACAAAAGTTGGTAGCACTTCTAATAAACATAAACCAGCAATCTCTGTGTTAAAGGATGGGACTAACACCTAAGAGGTCATGAGTTCTAGTCTTAGCTCTGTCAGAGACTCACTGTAAAACACTAAGTTGCATCAGTTTGCTTTGACTCAGATCTTCCCTTAGTAGTCGGAGCTGGAAATGCCACAACCATTCATGTGTATAAACCATTAGTGATCCTTAGTTCTGAGGTGCTGTGGCACTGTCTAACATGTTTGCATTGATACTGCCCACAAGCTTGATGTGGGTGCCATAAGAGAAATTAATGTTCCATCAATGTTTGTGTGTCACTAGAGTTTTAAACCATTTTTTTCCCTCTCTTTTTTTTGTAGTATTGCTCTAACACATCACCAAAATGAGTGAAAAGGAAGACCAAGGAGATCCAGCAGATATTGATGATTCAGCAGAAAGTAGAGAATATGAAGATGATTTTGAAAAAGACCTTGATTGGCTAACTAATGAAGAAGAAAAAGAAAACCTTGGTGAAGGAGAGGTATTTGCTAATTAAATACTAGTTGTCTCATTTAGAAGACAAAATTGAGTAGTATTTGGAATCAAAAGCACAAAATTAAATATGGTTTGAAATATGTAGGTATATTCACTTAATTTTACAAGGAAGGTTTTTTGGAATTACAGTGAAAAATAATCCAGTGAACTGGTTGGTTTGGTTATAATTGCCTTAAAACAAGAAATTTGGTGTTCATTGAAAATAATATGTTTGTTTCAAAAGTACTTCTGGGTTCCTTTAAGTGTTTGTGCCACACACGTTGTTCTGTTTTTGTGCTGTCACTGATGGCTTTATTGTGCAAGCCACAGTTAGTTAAACTTTGTGCAGATGTGAAGAGGGTTGTTAGTGCCAAAAAAAGATATTAGTTATGACATGCACTGTTTGACAGCCTGTTTTAGAATGAGGATAGTTAGTACTGCTCTTCTCTCTTGCTATTTCTTTTCTCTTTCTCTGATACTGTTCTTTGTTGGGAGAATAGCTTATTTTAATTTTTTTAGAATCCTGAAAAAAATGAAGAGGATGTCGAAGCACAAATTGTTAAAGTTGTGGACAAGTTTGAGGAAGACAGTGAGGAAATGGAAGAAAATCCAGATCCGCTTTCAGAGGCAGATGTAGATGCAGAAGTGAGACCCTCCAATGAAGAGAGTTTGGAATCCAGGTCTGATGTTAAACAGGGGGATCATGTCTCTGATACTGATAGTGAAAGCTCTATCCAGGAATCCAAGCTGGAAAACCAGCAGGAACTGGATGAAGAAGAGCATGAAGAAATAAAGCGTTACATCTTGGAAAAGATTGAAGAAGCTAACAAACTGCTGGAGAATCAGGCTCCTGTGGATCAGAACAGAGAGCGGAAATTAAAATTTAAGGATAAGTTGGTGGATCTTGAAGTTCCTCCTCTAGAAGACGCTGAGGTTTGTAAAACTGATGTTGTGAGAGGAGATGATGTTTCAAATAAGCTATCTCGATTGCATATTTCTAATGAAATGGGACAGGAAAGCACATCACTTTCACCACGTGCTGGCAAGGATGAGGAAAAGAAGGATGGTAAAATCCTAGTGGAAAAAGATGGCAAGTTTGAACTCTTAAGTTTATGTGATATTGAAAGCCAGGGCTTTTTGCCCCCTATAAGTGTTTCTTTTACTGATATTAAAACTCAACATACGTCTCCAAAATCTTCACACTACAGTCCTTTTGGCACTGTCTCTGGAATGAAGGAAGTACCTCCAGTGAGACCAGGAGCACATTCTTTTTCTCCTGGTGGAGAAGGGTGTGTGTATTTCCCTATACCTCCATCTAACCCTAAGCGTCGTCCAAATTCTGCTATCAATGCTGCAAGAGGTCTGGGAAGACAGAAGACTCCACAGAGAGTGCAGTCTGCAAATATGCCCGTGAGAAGCTCCACTTACTGCCTTTCCCCCAGACAAAAAGAATTGCGGAAGCAGTTAGAACAAAGGAAGGAAAAACTGAGGAAAGAGGTAAAGATATAGAGGCAACAGGTAGATCATAGTGACCATCCTGTATTTTTTCCATGACAAAAGAGGCAGCAGTAACAGTTATTAGTATCATTATTCTCTGGAGTCTGTACAGAATCTCTCAAAACTCCTTTCTTTTAAAGAAAAAAAACTCCACTGAATGGCATAGGATCATGCCTTAGTTATAGGAGAAATGAAGCAATTATTTAATATATTCTTCATAAATAGGCTGCCTTCTGCTACATTGTACTTACTGCTTTTGCTTATTGACTCTCTTTCTACCTAGGTTCCATTACAGGCCCACTGTTTACTGGAACGTAGCACATGGTATCGCATCTCCACAGGTGACACTGCAATGCAGGAAATTAATGTTAACCACAGAATGCAGTGCAGATTTGGGTGCTCACAAAGTATGTAATAGGCAGTTGTCATCTGGGAGAGTGTTCATTCATAAAATAAGATTTACACAGGAGAATGACTGTGAGAACTATGAACGAAGTACGGTGTGTTTAACATGTATGGAAGATACAGCTGACTTCCAAAGTGGCATGCCTTATTGCTTGCATAAGGTGCATGCAGCTGAAGTCACATTGACCGATAATATAACTGGATACTTTTTTCATGTAAAGGGTGGGTGAGTGTTGTTAGTTTTCTCAGTGAGTTTGTTGTGAAGTAGGGTATTTTCTCCTTTTTCTGTTAATGGATACGACTTTTCCTTCTGATTTGGTTTTACCTGGGCTCTACACAGAAGATAAAAAGAAGAAAATATGCCCAGTACTGAGGTTATTCTTCTTGTATCTATAAAGGGCAATAATTTAAAAGAAAAAAAAATCTATTTTAGAAAAACAAATCAGTATCTTATGCATTACTAGGAAAAACACTCTTTTAATTCTTTCTTAGCTTCTTATTGAGAAAAAAAATAATATTTAATAGCGAGTCAGCCACTGACATCTGTAACGGGAACTTCAGAAATCTTTACCAAAAATTGTAAAAACTTAAGATGTTTTGCTTCACTTTGTGTTACAATGATACAGTTGCAAAAAGGTAGCTTACTATATATGTTGCTCTCTAAAAAGAGCATGGAAGCATCTACATTTTTCTGTGCCATAACGTTCTAAGTAAGCTGGCTAAGTGGCTTCAAAGTGGCTTTCTATTCCTGGCAATAGGTCTAGCCTGCTTTATTTGAAAAATGTGCTGAGGCTTAGCTCAGTAATGAGAGGTAGGACATGTAGAGAGTTACTGATGTGTTTCCTTTGTACACACCAGACTAGATCTCTTGACACCATACTCTGCATATTTAAAGTACAAGGTAGAGTGGTGGAGGTAGGCAGCGTTATTTTGCTAACAATGTGTGCTAAATCTCTTCCTCTGTTGGCTGACTTATGAAAAGGTAAGAATGTATTACCATTTTTCTTCACTCTTGAATGGAGTTCTTCCATTTTGTGATGGATTTCACGGGCATGAAACATTTCTTGACATTATTGGAATCCATCTGCTTTATCTTGGTGGTGTTTCTTTCATTTCAGTAAATTACAAACCGTAAATTTGGAGGATAGTCTGAAAGTTGTGTGTAGGTGGGAGGAACATTCTGTTCAACAAGACAAATAGATTGAACAAGAAGACGAACAAGAAGAATAGATTTCTCCAAGTGTTGAAATGAGTGGGGATTGTGGCTTGTTTTTCAAAGAGAATCAAAACCTGGTAAAATGTCCTCATCAGCTTTCTGAAGTGTTATTTGAAAACGTTTCTTCTCCTTGTAGATTCTTGTCATTAGCTAAAAATGTGATTAATATTTACAAAAAACTTTTATCAAATTAGTAAAACCAGTTCATTTTGTAAACTGGAAAAAAAGTGTTAAGCTATTAGTACTCCTTAAGTAAATACATTACAACTTCATGTCCAGAAAAAAATCCTTATTTATCAGGTAGTGCCTGCAGTCCATAGGTAGTTAAATATCCTTTAGGCTTTAGTGGTCCATCAAGCCTGAGAGTAGCATTTATTTATAAAATGGATCAGTTTAAACTGATTTTAAGCCAATCACAGCTATTGGGCAGGCTTAATTTTAAGTCTTCACCTGATGTATCATGAAAATGGAGGCAATCACAGAAAGGGTTAGACTGAAAGTATCTGAATGTAACATGAATCACAGAAGTGTTCAAACTCGTTTCTTTCCTAAAAGTAGTATCAACTATGATTCAGTCTTTGAGTATTCCTGTTTCATCAGTATTTTTGTGCTTCTGTGATGTAATTCAAGTGGATTATTTATTGTCTATGAAGGCCTTTCCAGATTAAGATCTTTCTCTTAAAAACTAAGTTTATTCACTCTTCATTCCATTCAAGGAAGAAGAAAGGAAGAGAGAACAAGAAGAACAGAAGAAAAGAGAGAATGAGATGGTTTTTAAAGCTTGGTTACAGAAGAAGAAAGAACAAGTGCAAGAAGAAAAGCGAATTCGTCGTGCAAAGGAGCTAGAAGACTTGAACAGCAAAGTAAGATCTCCCTAATGTAAGACTGGGATCTACAGTGCTCTGGCTAGATAGGCAAACCAAATTCTAAGCCTGTGTTCTTAGCTAAGCATATGAAAATTTACAGTGATAGGAAGTGTTTTGGTTACATTGTTTTCAGTGAAGAGCTTGATTGCCTTGCATGTTTGGGATTGTTCTGCTTGGCAGGGTGACTTGTGTCGTAGAAGCTGCGTAATAGCTATAAACTTAACAGCTACAACTTAATAAACTATAAATATATAACTATATAATAGCTATAAACTTAATAGCTATACTATCACATGAGATGCAGTGAACAAGCAGCCAGAAAACCTTTTGAAGTGTATTCCTTGCCATCAGAACTTGTTGGCAAGCATTTAATGCATGGGACTTGACCAAAACCTGAAGATTCAGATGCTCTGTTCTAAAGTTCCTCTGCCTTGCAATGATGGGCTTGGAAAGCTAAATGCAGTATTTTTAAAAACATACTGCTTTGAATGCTTGCTCATGTATATATTCCATGCCAAATTTAGCATATGCTTTAGTTTGATTATAAAGTATGTTTCATGGATGGGAGATACCAGCAGAGTTCAAAAAATTATAATGTGATTAATATAAAGGTCATTTAATGGTAAGCCTTGTGTATGTTTGTTTTCTGGGTTTTTTTGTGTTTTGTTTTGTTTTTTTTTTTTTTGGTTTTTTTTTTTTTTTTTTTTTTTTTTTTTTTTTTTTTTTTTTTAAATAGGAGAGGAGCAGGAATCCAGAAGAAGCCTACAATCAATGGCTGAAAAAAAAGCACCAAGAACACATGAAAAAAAAACAGATAGACATTTTGAGACGCCAAGCTGAGGGAATTGCCTTTTTTCCAAGAACAGAGGAAAGCAACAGAGCCTTTAAAGAGTGAGTAGGGTCATTCCTGGGGAATTATACTTGAAAACTTTGTAGTCTTACCAACTTAAGACTGTAGTCATGTTATGGTTCATCTTTACTGATGAAGTCCTTATTGGTTTGTTTTTTTTGGTTTTTGTTTTGTTTTGGGGGGGTTTTTTGTATGAATATGCCCTCATAAACTTACACTGTAGCAAAAATACATCAGTTCCTTGATATTGTTTGTTCACTGTTGTGAAATTACTTGTCAGAACCTGCACTGAAATAGTGAAGTGCTTCTGCTGGAAAAGGGAGATCCTTCTCCCCTACCCCTTTTTGCCTGTTCTGGAGCAGGGTTGGGTCCATGCAGAAAGGTAATCCAATAAAATGATTTTTTTTTTTTTCTCAAGGCCATGAGTTGAATCAGCTCAACAAAAAAGGGGAGATGTAAAGGTGGGTGCAGAAGCAGGAGAATTGGGATGGAAAAGCAGTGCCTCCCTTGTTTAGGAGTGGCAGGCTTTTAGACTCTCAGCCATGACACCTAAGTTTATCCTACAGGACAAGGTGACTCTGGTTAAATGGGGGCAAGTCTCCTTTGAATGGATGACGTAAAACTTTCACTTGCAACTGTCACTACTTCTAGTCCTGTTTTTTTGTCTCTACAGATGGCTAAAAAGAAAGAGAGAAGAAAAACGAGCTGAAGAACTAGCTTCTAAAGAGAGTCTAAGGCAGCTTAGATTAGAAGCCAGAAGAGCAAAACAGATGCAGAACATCCATTGTATTAGTTCAGAGCCCAAATCCTTTCGCTTCACAAACCATTACAGTTGAAAGTTTGATGTAACCCCCGAGTTCTTGGTGGCAATCCTTTTAATTTTCATGGCTTGACCTTTTGCTCTTTACAGCTACTGACTTTTTGTGGTATTTTTAAAGCTTTCAAGCAAGTTTAACAATTCCCTTCACTGACAATGATTTTACTACCTATTTATTTGTAATTTTGTTGAAAAGCCTGCTTTTATGTATAACTCAGGGATCTTCTTGGTTTGACTAAATCTAAATGAGTGTGAGATCTATATCCGAGGGTGGCAAATACAGTTCCTGTCTTTAAAAGGTACTTTATACTCAGCTCCACTTGAATTCCTGGATGCAGGCTATTATATAAAATGTTGAATTTTTGCTGGATTAATATTGCTGTTTGCTGCAATATTAATATATTGCTGCTTGTGATGAAGACTGTACAAGGTGTTATGTTACTGGAAAATGCTGTTTCTTGTACCACTTTCTATTGATGTGTTGACCACCTGTTAGTTCTGGCTAGAGCAGTGGACCATTTTATTTTGGTTCAGGGAAAGTGGTCACTCGAAGGCTAACATGTATGTGAACGTGCAGTAGTTTCAGAAACTTATTTCTGTGAGTCATATTTGATAGTTTTATATTCAATGAAGTTAAAAGGTTATGTGAATTATGACCTTAATAGCAAGGAATCTGGATTCCTTGTACATTGTATACATGTCCACGTTTGCTAAGTTAATTATAATAAACTACATCACCTTACCCAGGTAAATTATGAACTCTTGTCAGAGAACATGCTGAAGTCACTCACAAAATCCTAAAGTTAGCAGCAGATGAAGAACATTCTGTCCAGCTATGTATCCAACAGATTCCATGATCTGGCACTGTTCTTACTTTTTTTCCCACATTCAGAGTATTTTCTGGAAGTACTGTGACAGAAGTATAGCAGATGCAAAGCAAATTTGCCACTAGTATTTTTCTCTTACCATTCTGGAGATATTTACAGGCATATTGAGAGTACTCGTGTTTGGCAAGAAGGTGCTGTGTTGCAGCTTTTAGCAGTATAGAGAAAGGGCACAGATGTGAAGTGAAATTTTCACATGCTCATAAGAAACATGATTAACAGGTGCCTTCCTCCTTCCTTGCCCAAGGACAAGAAATGCTTCTTGTATCTAGGAAGCAATGCAGGGGGAAAGTTTGCAAAGGTTCATAGCATCTCCCTAATTGTAATAAGCGTTTCTTGGTTCATTACCTCAGACCAGTAGAGTGAAGGGTTTTACAGTTCTATGTTAATTTTATGCTGCAGAGAAAACCCAAAACTGCAACTTGAGAGCAAACAAAAAGTTTATTGTAGTTTTCTTCATGCAACCAAAGCATGGCCAGGAACAGCAAGAATGTGTACCATATTCTGATCATGGTATGAGAGTAAAAGAAAACTGGGTAAAAGCAACCATTTCAGAAGCCTTTACCCAAACTAGATAGATATGCTAAATTTGGGAGTGAAACTGAAAAATTAAAATGCATATTTGCACCCTCCTACCTTTCCTCTCTACCTTTGCAATTTAAATAGGCTTCTTTGTATTTAGCAGATTATCTGCTAAAATTTCTCTTTGAACATCAATATTATAAAACCATCCAGGTAAAAAAAAAATACATTTTTACTGGTACTTGTGCAAACTTAGTGCTTATCTTCAGCATCCCATAACACCCAGGAAGACCTTGGGCAAGGACTGAGTTCTAATGCTAGGTCAGGTTTCAACACTATGTATGTAAGCAGGTATATCTGTCTGTGCTGAAGATCAGCTATGCAACAGCTTCACTCTAGAAGATGAAATAGATGGAAGAAACATTATTTTAGCTTTATGGAACACAAGAATAATCTCACCCTGTACAGTTTTCCAGAAACCATTTTAAAGCAGTTACTATTTATATATTATAGCTAGCGTTCATTCAAGCTCTTTCCCCGTCTTGCCAGGAGGGCTGCAACACTGCATACGCTTTTACTTTCAGAACTTACAGCTATGAAGAATGATTGCACATATTCCTTTTTATTATTAAATTTAAAAGGCTGAACATAGCCAAGGTGATGAACTATCCCCGAGTCTAAGACTGGGGAAAAAAAAAAAAGCATGGAGCTAACGATTTTCCCTTGCTTTTTTTTTTTTTAACTTTTTAAATATAACCTATCAGTACTTCATTTACTTTGGTATAGCTATGCTTTTGTCTCCCTCTGAAGAGAAACTCATTGAGATTTGCTAACAAGACAGTAAGCCTTAAATAGTCAAGGGCATCTTCATGCTCTACAAATTGGACCAGCTTAACATTTTTGGTCTTGCTTCTGTAGAAGTAAATAAGTAGCTTTCCAGACTGAAAAGCAGAAGTATCCCAGAGGTTAAAGAAATCCACTCAGTCCCTAACTTCAAGAGGCAGAGAAGCAAAAAGTGCATAATTTCCAAGGTTAAACCCACCCATTATGGAAAGAAATAGGAAACAGGGAAGGCTGATGAACATCAACTAGTGTAATTCTTCAGAAAGAGTGCATGTGCATTGGCTGTTTTTAAAGGGCTATCAGCTCTCCTTGACACTGATTGCAACAATTGAAAGTTATATCTTCATATCTTGTGTATGGGTGAAACCTTCCGATACTCTTCTTTGTGGAAAGAAAGGAGGATGGAGAGGTCTCAGGAAAAGAAACTTCTGTTGATGTTTCTGTACGTGCAGCTGGATCCAGGACATGTAGCACCTAAGGATGGAAAAGTTGAGAATGCAAATATATCTATTAAGGTTAATGGGGTTTATCCTTCTCTAACTGCTAGGAAGGATTTCTGCTTGAAAGCGAGGTTTTTCCAGTTGAAAACTAGATATTCATCTATCCAGATCCGCAATATAAAGACATTAAGTACTGTTTATAAATTAGTAACATCCATCAGAAATCCAAGGTTTGATTTTATTCAGAATAAAAAAATAAAATCTAATCTTTTTAGCAGAGTTGAGCAAAACCAAACACAGTTAACGAAGCACTGTGAGCCTCCTGCTGCTCAACTATTATTCGACTGCTTAGAGACTAAACTTAATCTAGTTTTCTATTTAAACATCAAGCCTCTTGAAGTGAAACTGTATCTTGAAAGACAGTCATATAGCTTCTCTGTGTTTCCACCCACTTTCAACAGAACTGATTTTTAGGGCAACAGAAATTACTGCTGACATGTTATGACTTATTCCTATCTGAACTAGGTTTCTTCTCCTGCTCAGCGTTTAAGCTCAAGTATTTTCAGTTGGCTTCCCCCGACACACTAACTCTGAACAAATTTTGACTCAGTTATTTTTGGTGCTAGGGACAGAGAAGGAAACAGTATGTATCATAATATTATTTATGTTGTTCTGCTTATTCTTCTGGTTTTGTGGGTTTTTTTGTTGTTTGGAGGGATTTGAGGAGGTTGTCTTTTTTTAAATGAGGGAAACAGCACTATTCAGTGGGTTTCCTCTGCATATAGTTTTTTTAAAAAGGCAAGATTAAGTAGTTAACACAAAGCAAGGTGTTTATTTCTGGAAAGAACACTGTGCTGACAGACTGAGATGTATGAAGGGTTCTCACCATTTCGGCCATTTTCTCAGCAGGGGTATTGCAAAACTCCACAGCTGCTGAAGTCTTTTTTGGACTGTTTGGACCGACATTTCCAAGAAGATGCGAGCTTACAGCTTTGGCTAGCTTACAATTCACAGCTGCTAGCTCTGTTGTAGTGTAAGGCTGGGCACTAGGATAGTATGTCTGTTGTCTCCCCCATTGAAGAGACACCATCAGCTCCTCCAGCAGCCTGTGCAGAAAGGAAAAAAGCACTATTAGTAGTTTTTGTACTCTATACTGTCAGCACACAGGAATTGTCCCCTCCCAACACTTACTGCACAAGCTAAATGTTAACAAAAAATGGAAAAAAAAGTTTAAAAACAAGGAGACAAGCAGGCTATTCTCCAAGGCAAGGCCTCACCAACGCATTATTTTAACACTGGTAAAACTTATTTGACATCTGTCAGGATAAGCACTAAAAAGTCAATCTGGGTAGAAGAATCTGTATGTTTCGAAGAGGACAGAAGACACTTGAAGTCAAGACAGTAAGTGATTAAACAGAGAAAGCCTGAGGGTATGAGGTAGGCCAGTTCTACAGTATATTACCCCTAAGAGCTCACACCTCTAGGGAATGAAGAAAGAATTAATGCTACTTTGGCTCTTTCAGCTCTGAGACTGAAAAGTGACCGTACTATCCATCAGCATAACTGATTTTTGACGACTATCACTGGAACAGGGGAAAGTTATTTGATTCTTCTCTGGCCTAGAATAAACTGACAGAAATGAAAAGTTGGCACAGAGGCAGTCTGGATTAGAAAAATCATACTTCTTTGTATCAATCATCTCTTGACGGAACTGATCACGTTCATTCAGCAAATCCTGGATTGCACTTTGTGCATCCCTGGTTTGACGCTGAAGAATTGCTCTGGTATTGGTTAGCTCATCAGCCATAACCCTGCAAAAGAAATCTCCAATCAGTAGTGTAAGTGAGCAGTTTGAAAGTCACCTTTATTCTACTACAGACTGTAATTTGTCAACTCAAACTAAGTATTAAGCTGCTGTTCTCAACCCCCTCCCCCACACAGGGGCTATATCAACCTTATTACAAAGGATATGTATTAAAAGCAATTTCAGTTCAACTACAGTCAACACAAGTGCAAGATTATGTTTTGACTTGCTGTGTTTAAACAATCTTATGTCACTTAATACAAGTCCAGTAACAGACATTTTAAAATGCCTTGGGTAAAGTGACCGTGGTGGACAAGAATCCTGAGAGATAAAAGCTAAATACATTTTGTTTTACTAACACAGTTCTCACAAGTATGCTGTAATCACATCTTTTCATATTCATTTCTAAAGATGACCGCCATGGCTACAGACTGCATTCATCTTTGCCTTTTTCAGGGGCAATAACTAGATGTTACATGTGCCAGATATTTGTAGCTCTTGAATGCTTATGAGACAACTGTTGTCATATTTTGCTACACCATGAGACTTGGCACAGACCCGTCAAGCAGGTATTCCAAATACCTGAGATACTTTAAGTGCAAAAAACAGAATTACATTTAAACAACCACCAATTAGAAATCTGATATCTCAATGAACCAGAATGTTACAATATCAAAAGGTGTTACTCTAAGCACATCACCACACTGACGTTCCTAGAAGGGACCTGCATCTCTGATCTCAGAACTCCTCTTACTGCTAAAGAAGCAAGTTAGGGTGGTAACACTTTCCTAGCTAGGACTGTCACAAGTTCTTACATTCACTCAATATGTGGAAACTTCTTAAGACCAGCAGACTAACTGTAATCTATTACTATTTCCTTCAAGCAGTAAAACCTTTTGCAAGGTTTTACTAATATGCGTTAAGCATCATGATTAAAATTCAGTTAGTTATATCAAAGTACAGTAAAAGATTAAAAATCCTAGAACACCTTTCACATATCTGGTAAAACAACTACACTTGGCAAGTTAAAAAGTCTAATCCATTGTCAAATGACATTTTGACATTCAGACCAGCTTAAGATTTGCTCCCGACTTTTGCTACCCATTATTCTATGTTTATAGAATTAACAGTAGGGTTCTGAGCAGTAACATAATCTGTGTTTAATTAAAAGGTGCCCCTACTCTTTTTTTTCCCTACTTCCCAGTCCCTGTAAGCACAGTTCTTAACCAAATCCACTTCTTTACAAACTGATTATTGTATACTGGGGGATGGGGATGAAAGCTGATTACCTTTAAGACAAGTCAAGACAGCTCTTCTGGAGACAGTTTTAAACCTTCTACTGCACACTGTCAGAATTAAGAACTTCTCTTGCTATGTTGACAAGAACTGTGGTTAAGATTTTAGGAGGTTTAGGACCCTCTGTATTACCTTTGAAAAGCAAACTATTCAGATTTACTGGGAGCTTGCTTAGTTTGTACCTTTTCTGTATACTCAAACCTCATAATAGGTGTTAGTACAGCTGCTGTGGCTTTCTTCTGCACATTTAGGCACACTCCCAGGTACTGCAATGGGCAGATGTAATAAAAGACTGAAGGAGAATGCTGTTATACCACCTCCGTGAGGGAATACCTGCTTGCTAGAAATTTGCTTCGCCACACATCACACTGTATAGACATGCGCTCTAATTGTTCAGACAACTGAGACATATTCCGTCCTAGGACTTCATTTTCTAGGATTAGCTGATTTTTCTCACGAGCCATCCGTTCAAAGTGATACTGCAGATCATCCCCAACAGAAGCAACAAGTAATTTCTTCAGCTCCCGATTCACCTAGAATTAGACCAGATTGTCTTGTAATTGTCAATATAGAATGAAACATCTCCTACTTCCAGAATGCAGTGCAAACTGTTGCACACTGCTAACAACAAATTTCCCCTCTCTTTCCAGAACAGGACACATCCAATGTGGAGTATATTAAGCTTTACAATTCTCTCCAGTGAGCATAAGCATTTGAGACTAATGCACATTTAGCACATTCTGGTTTAAATTTTAACAGAGGCCAAAGAGGAAGAATGAAAGCTTGCTACCAAAAACAAAGTTTCAGCAGCATTCAAGTCCTGAATCAGTAAGATAACAAAGGATTAGACAAGACATCTGCAGATTACATTATGCAAAAAACTCTGGTCACCCCTTCTATGGCATAAAATTTTTCACTTAGCGATTTAGCTGAGGAGTAACATCTTTCCTCTTGAAAGACCCATTTCCCTGCAGCCTTCTAGTGTGTTTCTCCCACCTTCAAGCCTTTGATACTTTCACCTGTTGTCAGAGTAGCAGCACTGGACTACTTAGATGTACTTTGTGTATTAGCTGATAAAAGGGAAACTGTTTGTTTCAAGGCTAGAGTGTCATAGCAGTTCTCTTTGGTCACATTCACAAACTGCTTATATAAACCAAAGCAGCTCAGCTGTGTGAGAGAAAATACCTTTCCCTTCTTACCTCTGTCTGTATACGCAGCTGATTAGAGAGGCCTTCTTTATCCTGTAACAACCGCTTTTCAGAATTCTTGAGCTTTTCAATTGCATTTTTCAGCTCTATCTGTTCTTTCTTGGGATCTGTGGCTCTATCTGACTGATGGAACGTGTCTCCTTTATGTCCCACTGATTTAGCTACCTTAGCATTTTTAGTCGGAACAACATGGCTGATGGCTGCTTTGGGGACTAATATACGAATAGCTTCAATCTCCACTGATTTATCAGCATGTACTTTCCCTAGCTGCAGAACTCCGGGACTCAAGGAAGAGACTGTATTTTTATGTGGGCTGTGGTGGATGTGGTTTGTAGTGTTGTCTCCAGTGAGTGCTTCCACTGATTCAGCTGTCTGCTCTGTTTCCATGCCATCTCCAGGTCCACGGATGGGTGATGAGGCATCATCAACTAAAATTTAAAAAAAGCAGAGGAAAAATTGACCACCTTTCCCTTTGTCATAGTCTCATTGTAACTCTTCACTTAATTTCTGTACTTCAAAGTTACAGATTTTAACTGCAAACTGCATGTGTAAAATAGTCGTTTGCAGCAAAAATTATCAAACGCAAGTTAGAAAAGTCCTTACTCAAGCATGTGTTGCTCATTAATACTAATAGTACAAGACACAAACATTGATCTGAATTGTATTCATCTCAATTTCCTGCTCCCATACAAGATTAGGTAGATGCAGACATGAAAAGGAGGTAGTAAGGAGAAAGCTCTTGACAATATTACTTATTGATTAAAAACAAAATTAGTTTTTGGGAGCTGACAGAATCAGAGCAGTCGCATTTCAAAAGCGATAATTAAATGAAAAGCAGCTATTTGCTACATAGCAACTAACACCTAAGAAGTTTGCGACTTTTAAGTACTATCTACCGTGTGTTTTAATTGCCCAAGCGAAGGTTTAAAAAAAGCCAACAAGACAGTTCTGCTTCATTTCTAATCAATAGACCCTGGTATTCCCAGTAATACCACATTCTGCTCTGATTTCCCCAATATGCATGGTAATGTTTACTGAAATTCATTTTACTTCAGTTGACTAAGTTTTCAGCTGAATTAAATATTACTACACTAAAGCTTCCTCACAATGGGTGAAAGCAAGAAAGCTTCTTAGAGCATAGCTACACGTACTACTTTTTTTCCTCATCCTGCAGACAGTTAGGTGAGCCTGCATCCTCTATCTAAATAATGAATTTCAAAAACGCTGTAGTAGCGCCATTATATTGCCCTACTTTCAAGTTGCCTGAATCAGTACCAACAGGTTCTAAAAACTAGAGGACGACTGACAGACAAGCGTACAGACAGATGACAGCAAGTGACAAACTTGGTTTTTGATACATATTCAATTAATTGTTCCACCCAGGCAGCTCTGTTTTTCACTGCAATAATGAAGTCACAGAACTACTTCCTAATAGCTGCACAAAAGGAATAAGATTAAACAAATGGAGCCTGGCATACAGTGTAACTGGTCTTTAGACTTCAGGGTACAGTACTTTTAATCCAGTCTGCTCAGATATCATGCGAACCACCTACCTTTTTCTAGAGAAGTCATTTTCTCTTTAGCAGTCAGCTCTTCCTAACTACAGAAGTCTGAGGAGTAAAGGAGAAGGTGGGGGAGAAACATAAATCTTTAGCAAGGTAACAGTGACAGGTAATTTTGGATTACCCTTTTTTCTAGTACAACCTCTACACTCCAGTTCAGTAGCACACTGAAAAAAGCATACCAAAACAAAGGAAAAAAATCCAAAATTATAAAAAACACACCAGAACCCAAAGAGTTAAAAGAAGGCCTATGAAATTTCTGTCACTTGTTTCTTCTTTTACTAAAAGCTGGACTTAAACTCCTATCTCCTCCAGCTCCAGTTTCCATTCCCCTAATTTCTTTTTCTGGTCTTCCTCCTGTTTTCAATAAATCCTCATCTTACCCTTTAAAACTCTGTAACACTCCCCGAGTACAGCTGCATGACTGTGCACAGATAACCTAAAATCATCTCAGAACCACAAGAAAGGGAAGTCTCACACTGCGCTTAAAGGAACCAAGAGGTGAGGAGGAAATGATGGCAACTGCACAGTTGCATAATTGCTTTAGTCCTGCTTGCTAATACAACTTTTTTTTAACAGAGCCAATTCCTAGCCAAGGCAGGAATCAGTGCCCTGAGTGGCTGCACATGCTTAGTTTAAGTTAACAGTAAAACTTTATCCCCAGTTTGGCGCAAACTACCATCCTGGCTATCTCCTCTCTTATCCACCAATTCTATCCACCACTGCCTCCTCCATCCACAGGTCCATCCGTTCTCAACTCCCCAGGCCACTTGCCCTGCTTTTCTAGGTTCTATCACTAACTAAATTAGTTTGAGATCAGCATATCCCTAGGTTTGTGGGGTTTTGTTTTTCCTTCAGTTCTCCCTATTATTCAAGGGAGCTCTCCCAAAGCCCTTGCTCCTCTCCTTATACCATTAACTCAAAAGGCTTAACTACAACTTTGACTTCCACTGCTACAGCTCTCTACCCTGAAAAGATAATGGTAGCAGTGAACACACTACCACCAGCTTTCCAGATTCATGACTTGCTTTGGGGAAGGTAGGTTTATCTTTTGTGATGACCAGAAGATAAAGGAAACGACTTTCCCTTCTTGAGCTTTCTCAAACTATACATACAGGAACACCTCGCTATCTGTTGCTTCTCCAGCTGGAGTTATGTTTTTGCTCATTTAACACCATGATGTGTTAATCACTACTGTTTGTTCTTTTTTTGACTGAGGATCTCCAATTCTCTGAGGAAAATCAGGATGATGAAAGCATAGCTGCTCAGATAGAGGCAAGAATACTCAACAACAGACTGATAATGACCATTTGGTCTTAGATGCTTTATCTGAGACCACCTGCTGATGATCCTGCTCCTTCAGTGTTCATGCTATAATACTGTTCCTGCTGTCCTGTTACTTTCATAGTCTCATTGTAAACCTCTGCAAACATCGCCCTTCTATTGCCTTCCAACAGGTAAAACTCCTTCACTGGTTGAATGGCTAACCACTGCATTCCTCAGCTAACGTCGTGCGCTGCAGAACGCCACACACAGGACAAACAACGCAAGGAAATCCTGTATTAACATGCCTGAGTCACAACTCTCAAC